CATGACCCCCTTGTGCGCGCCGCCAAAGAGCGAGCGGCTGTACGTAAGAGTGGCCTTTCGACGGAGTGGCCTTAGTTGCGCACACTACAGTCCATCCGCATAGTAAGGATGGACGACTTTCCAAGGCTACCCTTGCATCCTTGTCCCTTCGGCCCATCCTTGGTAACTTTCGCTTGCCAACACCGTCAGAGAAACGTGACCGTGGCCCTCCAAGCCCCTTGCATCCTTACCGCGCATCCTTATTATACGGGTTGACTGTAGGTTCCGCAGACGGCTCAATCTTTTGCCTAGGGCTACTTTTGCGCGTAGCCGAAACGACACATGCCCAGACCTCTGGCGATATATATATATATATATATATTATATATATATATATATATATATATATATATATATATAGACACACCTATATATACACATATATATATATATGTATGTATATATATATATATAGATGTATTGTTTTTTTCAATCGCGGCGTGTTGTCTCTCTCTCGCTTCGGCCTCTGGGGGGCGGCTTTCGGGCCCCGGGGCCATCGGGGACGGACCCGTGGGGCGCAGCGCTGCCCCTGAGGCAGCGGTCGTGAGCGCTGGGGCTGCAGACTGACAGAGGCATGCTGGTGGATGTCTGAGTCTACCGATGCCGACGCTCGTGGGCAACGTTAGGGGGGGATAGGCTCAGGGGGGGATGCACGACCCCCAGTCGCCCATCGATCGCCGATAAGGGGGCAGGATGGACCACCTCGCTCAGGAGCGTCCGGATTTGCTATGGGGAGCCACTCGCCGATGCATCGGCGATGTATCGCCGACTCAAGGGCGATGTCCCCCCCCCCCCCCCTGGCCCTCTGGGCCCTGGGGGGCCTCATCACCACGGCTGCATCTGCCGCGGAATCCTGGTCGGGGTGCGCCCTGGGAGAGGTCCTGGGAGTGGCGGCATCGGTCTCTTGTCTCCGCAGGGGGCATACGCACATCACGACCATGCTGGGCCGGGGCCGCCCTGGGCTCGGGGACGGTGAACGGCAGGATCGTGCCGTGTCGTTCGCGGCGGCGACCCCAGCGCGGGCGGTCGAGGCTGAACGCCGCCCGTGACCGATCCGTTCGAGGCTGAACTCGGCGGCGAGCCTGGGGGTGAACTGAGAAGGGGCGGGCCTTCTCAGAAGGCGGCGGGGCTTCTCAGAAGCCTTCGCGCCGTCTGAGAGATCTTCTGTGTCTTCGGGGAAGGCTTTGGAAACTTCTCGGAGGGAATCACGCCAGGACGATCCGAGGAGGAAGATGTACCACCACTGCTACCCCGCCCTCGTTTTCGCCCTCTTGGGCCTCCTGGGAGGCCCTCGTCGCCACCGCTGGATTCGTCTCGAGCTTCTGGTCAGAACGCGTCCTGGGAGAGGTCCACGCAGTAGCGGTATCGGTACCTTTTGGTCTCCCTAGGGCGATCAGTGCACGTCGATGCCGCCATTCGACACGGGCGATTTCTTGGCCCCTTGCGGGGGCTCCCCTGAGCCAAGCTGACTACATTGCCGATGTGCATGCGAAAGGGTATTGGAGTATCGGTGCTTCAGAGCGTTCGGTCTGCTCTTGCCCTCAAAGAAGACGAGTGCCCACTCGTGCCTGCGCTGGACGGGGCCCCAGGTGACTCTCCCACTAGGCTTCTCTCTGCCTGCTGGCGCCCCCAACCACCGTTAGACTTCACGCCTCTGGTGGAGGCGAGCGTTTGAGCTCAAAAGAGAAAAGCCCCAGGAGGAGGAGGAAGAGGAGGAGGAGGAGGAGGAGGAGCAGGAGGAGGAGGAGGAGGAGGAGGAGGAGGAGGAGGAGCAGGAGGAGGAGGAGGAGGAGGAGTGGCCCTTGGCTGCAGTGCCCTTTGCTGCGGGACGATCGGAGTGCCCCCCAGGAGTGCACGCACCAGGGCGCCGGCGAGGTCTTCGCGCCCGCCGCCCCCGCGGCGCCCGCGGCGGCGCCGGCGGCCACGCCCGCGGCCGAGCGCCGCCGGGCGGGCGGGCGCAGAAAACGGGGCCGTCTGCGCCGACACGGGCGCGCGAGCTGCCCTTCGCGAGGTCGCGCGCAGTAGGTGCCCTCGTCTCCAGCAGTGGCGTGCGCCGCGCTGGCGGTCCGCGCAGGCCGCCGCGCAAGGTCGCCATGCCATCTCTCACCACCTACCAAGACACCCCAACCCAACCCGAAGGCCTCAAGTTGCCCTCCATTTCCAGTGGGGGGGGGGATCGAGGAACGTGGACAAAAACACATGGAGCCCGTACCCCCCCCCCACCCGAAATTCGGGTCAAATTCGGGTCTTCGGGTTGGGTTGGGGTGGTCTGGTAGGTGGGCAATCTCGCGAAAGACCCGTTTTGGATCGTCGCGCAGGTGGAGGCCAGGCAGCGCCTGTGCTGCCAGTACCTGCTGCAGCAGGGCACCTGCCTTCACGGGCGGGTGGTGGCGTCGGGGCCCCGCCGTGGCGGTGGCGCTCGGCGGGCACTGCTGTGCTGGTACTGCGACAGGACCGCTCGTTTCTGGCCGTCGTCCTCCGCGTCGCGCTCGTCCAGGGCACGCTGGCTTCATCGCGCCGCTCGCAGCTCGTCCTGCCCAGCGCTGCCCCCGGCCCGCCTCCCGGTCTGCTTCCCAGGCTGCCTCTGCCCCTTCTGCCTCGGCCCGGCCTGCCCCTCCTTGGGCCCTGTGCTGCTCCTCGATCCTCTCAGCAGCCAGAGCTGTTGGACCATCGGGAGGGGGAGGAGGATCAGAGTAAACCCAGGATGCATCAAGGGTGCTGCAAAGCGCCCTCCCGTCGCAAGGCCTCTTATCATACATCCGTGCAGGCCTTCCTTCTGCTACTTGGCATCGCTACGACGTGTGCATCTTTTCGCGGCGAGGACCATCGAGGAACCGTTCTGCATCATCTTGCGAAAATGCACGCACGAAACCGAAACATACGCGGTGAATGGACGTCCGAGCGATGGCGAGGCTACAGGAAGCGCCCCCTTGGCAGATGAGCACCCCATCGGCCCACTATTCAGGCGAGGGCGGCGTTTTAAAAATCAATTGCCGTGAAATCTTTCCAATTGCAGATAAGGAATGCGATCAGGCAGGATCAGAAAGTCCCACGAGGTGTTCAAGACCCCACGCTATCTCCGAACAGTTGATGGCAAAGAACTCACTTGACGATCAGGGATTGTCTGCGATGCCAGAGTTTCTGGCTCTAGATCATTTGATTACCCTGATGCAAGAGGTTTCCGTTTCACGAGACGAAGACCGAGACGCGGCATAGGACATTTTAGGGGATTCAGCAGCTGGCACGTGCTTCTAACAGGCGCAGGTTGAAGAGTACGTGACGCCTGATAACGAAGATGTGGCATTAATGGTGGTTGAACCATCAGTAGCTCAACCAGACGGCGAGCAACCCAAGTCATCACTCGAATCTGTATCGCAACACCAGGGCATTCACGCTGCGGACGCCGCCCAGAACGATTTTTTCCATTCATCGAGCCAGAGGAGGTCGAGGCACCAAAGGAACCAGACGAGGAAATAGATGTTCAGGGGCAACCCAGCGCTGGCGACGCATTGGGGCAATCCGGCGACGCAGGAGAGTACTCTGTGTGCGACATAGAGAATCTTGTTGGCATGAACACAGCAATCACATCCCGCAAGGGCGCGTCCAAAAAGCGAGCTCGAAAACGAAGCGCAAGCGTCAAGACGGGCGTCACCAAGATCAAGACGCGCGAGATACACGAGATCAGCTTCGGCGTTGTCTCGCTCGATCTGATCCTTCGGAACGCCCAAGGCTGGGGCGACAGCCCATTTGCCCGTGGAGCAGCTGCCAGTAACCGTAGCAACGGTATAGGCCGAGCTGGTTGAGCAACGGACGGACGCTCTCTATCCTCATTGTTACTTCATGCTCACCACTGCCAACAAAGCCAGCAGCATGGTCTGCCCAGGCTGTCTGGTCCCGAAAAGGGCGGGCGCTTTGGGGCCCGAGCTCGACTTCGACCGCCAGCATGTGCGGAACTTTGTCGATGCTGTAGCTCCTGGGTTCTTGGTCCGTGCTGACGGTGAACGCGTGGTATACCGAGGTATCCGCTCGAACTGGAGCAAGGCGCTGACAGACCTCGCCAGGTTCCGGCGCGCTTGCGCGAAGAAGTTCCAGCTGACCATGACCGAGCGTTGGGACACCGACACAGCGTGGGCAGACCCCATGACACGAAACACAGCAACAGCTATGTGCAGTCGACCCGACATCGGGATCGACAGTGGTGCGGACCGATACACACACGCGATGCTCGGGCCGTTGACCCGAATCTGACCGCAGAGATGGCTGGCCCAAACTCGTGGGCCGCCGAACCGCTCCCAGCCGCTGCGCAGGAGCGCGTTGCTCAGGGCCGCGTCGCTAGTCTGCGAAGCAAGATGGTATGTGGAAAGCTACTGTCGTTTCACATTTAGCCGCGGCAAAGTGGAAACGCGGGGTTGGCCTCCTCGACGTGGAGGCAGTGCCCCCGGCGAAAAGTGGCACGATCCGTGTCAAATAATACCATGCGGGCCGCTCTCGCGCGTCGGCCGCGCGCGCATGTCGAACTCTATCCGGAACCTTCATTACCGACGCGAGGAGGCCGTCGCGTATGTTGCAAGCCATAGGTCGCGCAACACATATTGCATGACACCAATCTCACAACATACACCGGACCACATTGATTGCGCCACATAGATTGCACAGCATATAGTGTACCACTTAGATTGTGCCATGTATACTGCTCCACGCGGATTGGAGAACATGAGATGCTAGAAACACTGTTAGGGGTCCACGCTGGCTAACAGTGTATCCTTGCGGAGCGTGGCGTAGCTGGCCGTTTTGGAAGCACGACCATTGATTTCGATTGGGTGTTTTAAGTCGTCGTCGGCATGGCACCCCATACGACATTAACACAGCGCACCTCATCGCCCTCGATACTAGTGTCATACGATATCGCCGCATTGCAGACCACGTCACAGTTTCCTCGATCATCCCATGCCATCGTCCCCCTTTTTCGTCCTCGACTTTTCCGGTGCTGTTTCTGGCTCAGTATTTGACTGGTGACTAGGTGAGAGTACTGGCGCTCCGCCCAAAGTCAGCCCAATTCGACAAGTCGTAGTGTCTGAGATGAACGAGTGGGAAGACGTCGGCACTCCAGCCGCGCACCCGGCTCCAGACGTCGTCTTCGGAGGGATGCAGTCCGATGTGGCGTCTTTCTTGTCGTCTGCCGGCTTGGCCAGCCACGCGCAGCGCATCGTCGACGTCACGGGCGCTGGCTCGCTCGACGACCTTAGGCTGATAGACGCTGCCATGCTGGAGGAGGTGGTCAAAGCAGCGGACCTAAGGCTGGTCATTAAGAGGAAGTTCGAGATGGCCCTGGCCAAGCTGAGAGGGGAGCCCTCCGGCGCAGCGGTGGCTCCTGAGGCGCCCGTGGCGTCGAGGCACTCGGCTGCACACTGCCCGGGAGGAGAGCCCGCGGGGGCGCCTGAGAGCAGCAAGGCTGCGCCGCAGGTCACCATCGTCCAACCGATCCCCATTCCCACTGGGCCATGGTATCTGAAGGAAGGGAGGAAGGGAGGGAGGGAGGGAGGGAGGGAGGAGGAGGAGGAGGAGGAGGGGGAGGAGGAGCTCACCCTCCCAGGTGGGGATGGGCCCCACGAGTCCCCGAGGGAACGGGCACGGGCGATCCCGGGCTGAGGGCTCATAGGCCCCCCTCGACCCCTGCGGATTGGGATGGGTTCCAGGGTTCTACAGCTTGGCATCGCTCGGAAGTGTGCATTTTTCCTTCGGCGAGGACCATCGAGGAGCATCCTTGATCATTTGGCGAAGAAGCCACGCACGAAACCGAAAGAAGCACAGGAAATGGACGTCCGAGCGATGGCCAGCTCGTAGGCCCCCTCGACCCTTGCGTATTGGGATGGGTTCCAGGGTTCTATAGGCCCTCTCCCAAACCCCCCAGATGGGATGATGAAGACGGGGACGGGGACGGGGACGGGGACGGGGACGGGGACGACGACGCCCCCACCGCCGCCCGCCCCCGCAGCCGCTGACGCGAACGCCAACGCCGACGCCGACGCCGACTCCGACCCAAGACGACGTCGACTCCGACGACGCTGGCGACGACGACGATGACGACGAGGACGTCGACGACGTCGACTCCGACGACTCCGACGACGACGACGACGTCGACGACGACGACGACCAACCTCCACCACGCCACGCCCACAGGGCCAAGACCATGAGGGAAGGGGGCGATCGCATTCGCGAGGCCTTCGCGAGCCTCACGGGCGTACCCATCCAGCGGGGGGAGGCGATCCCATGAGCATTGGAGGGGAGGGGGGCTGGAGCCCTGGATTGTGTGTCCCCACCTCTGTGGGTGTGCTGGCCAGCTGGGCCGGGGGCACGCCGGTGGGACAGGGATCGCTGAACGCTGCTCTCAATAGGAGTGCATCGCGGTGTGCATCGACCGCTCCGGTTCCATGGGCGCCCCCTTTGAGGAGGTCACCCTGAACGTCGTCCGGGGCGCGGTGGCCCAGCGCACCAGGATGGAGGCGGTCAAGGTGATGTTCTACGCCTTCCGCGACAGGGTGGCGAGCGCTGGCTGCAGCACCCACCACTTGGGCCTTGTGCAGTTCGACGACCGCGTCGAGCGGCTACTGGATCTCAGCCCTAATCTCGAGCTCTTCGAGACGATCGTAGACGACGTCGAGAAGCGTGGCACCACGGCGATCTTCTCCGCCATCATCGAGGCCGCAGCCATGCTGGAGCCGCACTTCTCGGAGGACTCGCCCACCGACCTGCGTGTCCTTGTGCTCACCGACGGCAAGAGCAACACGGGGGCGCCGCCCGAGGATCGAACATTACTATTACTACTACGACTACTATTACTACTACTACTACTACTATTACTACTACTACTACTACTACTACTACTACTACTACTACTACTACTACTACTACTAGTACTACTACTTCTACTACTACTACTACTATTACTACTACTACTACTACTACTGCTACTGCTACTGCTACTACTACTACTACTACTACTACTACTACTGCTGCTGCTGCTGCTACTACTACTACTACTACTACTACTACTACTACTACTCCGACTACTCCTACTACTACTACTACTACTACTGCTACTGCTACTACTACTACTACTACTACTACTACTACTACTACTACTACGGCTACCACAACTAGTGCTGCTACTACGCATACCACGACTACTACTACGACTACTTCTGTTACTACTACGACTACGACTACTACGATCGCTACTAGTATTCTCATTTTTATTGCTATATCTATTACGATATTATTACGATTACGAGTAATCTGGACAGTCATCGTAACAGAGATAACAGTAATCACAGTTCTAATAAAAGTACTACTCGCAGTAGTAGTAATAGTACTTGTAGCAATAGTACTAATAGTATGTTTGATAGTCGTAGTAATAGTAATAGTAATAGTACTAGCAATAGTAATAGTAATAGTACTAGTACTGGTCATAGTAATAGTAATAGTAATAGTAATAGTAATAGTAATAGTAACAGTAATAGTAATAGTAATAGTAATAGTAATAGTAATAGTAATAGTAATAGTAATAGTAATAGTAATAGTAATAGTAATAGTAATAGTAATAGTAATAGTAATAGTAATAGTAAATAGTAATAGTAATAGTAATAGTAATAGTAATAGTAATAGTAATAGTAATAGTAATAGTAATAGTAATAGTAATAGTAATAGTAATAGTAATAGTAATAGTAATAGTAATAGTAATAGTAATAGTGAGAACACTAGTGATAGTAGTTAGATTACCAGTCATCGTAATTGTAATCGCAATAGTGATAGTAATCGTAATAGAGATAGTACTAGTAATAGTAATAGTGATAGTACGAGTACTAGTAATAGTAGCAGTATTAGTAATAGTAATCGTCATCGTGATTGCAATCGTAATCGAATCGTAGTCGTAATCGCGATCGTAATACAACTCACTATAACACTAGTAATCGTACTAATGCTATTATTAGTAATCGTACTAGTAGATAAGGCATAGGAAGTCTCAGCTCTCAGAGGTCCGCGCCGACCTCCGAGAGCCTGTGATTGTGCCGCTCTCCCTCCCCCACGAGGAGGCCCTCGCGGCCGTGAGCCGCATCGGCGCGGTCGTCGACGCCATCATCGTCGGGAACAACCCCGACTCCAACCTCCGCCGCATCGTCTCGGCCACCGGCGGCGAGTGCTACCAGATCGGCGACCTTGGGGAGGGCTTCGAGCTGCTGGAGGCCGAGGGCGTCGTGTCCCTGCGGGCCCGGCGCGGGGGGGCCGCGAGGCCGCCGCTCCGCGAGCGGCGCGCGGTGGAGTTCGCCCAGGCCTCCGAGAAGGCCCTGACCCGCGGGGCCGCCGTGCAGCGCGCGCCCGCGCCGCAGCTGGCCTGCGCCTCGAGGAAGGTGGTGGACGTCGGCTCGATGCAGGATCGGAGGGCGCCAGCCACGCATCGAGAGGCGGCGACCGGGGGGGGGGAAGGGAGATCTGAGCAGAAAAAACACCAGCAGCACATTACACCAGAGGAAGGCCGCAATCAGTGGATGGTTTGATGGAATCGATGGTGAGATCGATAGAGTGAGATGAATAATGAGATCGACCATGAGATCGATAATGAATTGTGGGATCGATAAAGAGATTGATAAGGAGATTGACCGGGAGCCCGGGAACCCGGTAACCCGGGAACCCGGAACCCACCGAAACCTGCCTGGAACCAATAACCAGGAACCCGGGAACCCAGAACCGGGAACCCGAGAACCCAGCTGGCTACCAAAATCGGCAAGAAACTTTCGCCAAAATGCCAGGAACCAATGACCGGGAACCCGGGAACCCGGAACCAAGAACCCGCCGTCGCCACCGCTGGATTCGCCTCGAAGTTCTGGTCCGAACGCACCCCGGGAGGGGTCCGGACGGGGGTAGCGGTACCGGTACCTCTCGGGTTCTCCAGAATCGGAGGGCGCCAGCCACGCATCGATGGGCGGCGACCGATGTGGGGGAAGGGAGAAGGAGGAGGAGGAGGAGGAGGAGGAGGAGGGGAGGAGGAGGAGGAGGAGGAGGAGGAGGAGGAGGAGGAGGAGGCGGAGGCGGAGGCCGCCGCAGCACGAGCCGAGCCGCCACGCCGGGCCTGGCCGAGCCGAGGCCGGGGCGAGGGGATCGGTGTGCGGTCGAGGCGCGGACGTGTGAGGACCAGTTCTTGGGGCCCGGGAGGAGGAGGAGGAGGAGGAGGAGGAGGAGGAGGAGGAGGAGGAGGAGGAGGAGGAGGAGGAGGAGGAGGAGGAGGAGGTGTAAGGACCAGTGCTTGGGGCTCGGGAGGGGCTCGGGCTGTAGAGCCCCGCTGCGCAGGTCTGCGTCTGAGTCGGGCCTGTCCCTCTGTTCAGAATTGCCAAGAAGGGCCTGGGTACGATGTTTTTCAGGAGGGGAAAAAACACACAGACAAAATTCATCGTCGACTCCCAGGAAAAGATGGGAGAATAGGGGAGGTGGGGGGGAAGACAGAAGCCCAGAGGATATGGGAAGATGTGGGGACTCTTTTTATTTGTTTTTTTTGTTGTGTGTCCAAGGGCCCCTTCAGTTTTGATAATTTTTTAGAGTATTTTTGGATCGTTTCTGGCTACTTCTAGTTTTCGTCGAACATCCGCCTGTAGGAGGGCATGCCCGACCCAGATCCACGTCTGGGAGCCTATTCGTTCGAAGAAGGTAGAACGCCATACGCATAAGCTTTTTGGCGCTCCGCGCGGATTTCTTGGATCCGCGCTGGGCCCCCCTGGCGGCGCCTCGGGCGCCGCCCCTGGTGCGCTCTGGGTCCAGCGCTGATCCAAGAAATCCGCGCGGAGCGCCGAAAGTTTCTGTTTGCGCCGTTCTTCTTCTATTCGTGGCCGAGGCTCGCCGTGGCTATCAGAGCTCCTTCGTTTCTTACTTTGCGGTCTTTCTGGCAGCACGATGGCCACAGGTGTACAGCCGGCGCTCTCGTTCGGAGGTCAGGAGGGTACAAAAACACAGACACGATCAATCGTCGACTCCCAGGAGAGTATGGGGAACTATGGGAAGTGGGGGGGAGGGCAAAAACTCCGGAAATGTAGGAAAAATAGGGGGAATCCTGGGATTCGTGTCTGTTTGCTTGTGTTGCCCTGTGCCCCCTGAAGAGGACCTGAGCGCCGCGATGGGCACGGCGGGCAGCGGGTGGGCGAGGCGCGTGCTGCAGGAGCTGAAGCAGGTGACCAGCGGAGATGAGGGCGTCTGGCTCCACTCGCCGGCCGGGGTGCCCGAATAACAGGGCTCGTTTCGATTCCTCCGATTCGATTCGATTCGATTTCGATGGCTTCCGATTCCGATTCGATTCGACTTGAGATTCCGATTTGGGTTCCGATTTCTTATTGGAGGCCTACTAGCCTGCCGATGTCTGCCGATTCGACTTTTCCCGACTCGGCTGCCGATTTCCGCCGATCCGATTCATTTCGATCGCCGATCCGACTTATCGATTCGATTCTGGGCTCTCCTGAATAAGGGCGAGTCAGTATCGTTTAACCGATCCCCATCCCCATCCCGATTCCCTTCGGGACCCCCACCAAGTTACCACCCCAGTTGGTGATGCACCCCTCGAAACCCGAAGGGAACGACCTGTCGCCCCATCTAGGGGGGTAAATCGGCCAGCGGGGCCGAGGCCACGCCGCTGGGGGTGGGGATCGGTTAATCGACACTCAGCAAGCAGTGGGGAAACGTAAGGTTTCGGTAGCAAGTCACGGGGACCTGGTGTACCCTCTTGTATTTCCGTCTTTCGCGCCGATTAGCGTTCATCAGCGTCTGGGAGGCGATGAGGTAGCACCGATCTAGCGTCGGTCAGCGTCGATGTGCGTCGATTTAGCGTCGATTAGCGTCGATTTAGCGTCGATTCGCGTCGATTCGCAAGAGCCGACAAGGTGGTATGGTAGGCTCTCATGAGTTGCCACCGAACTCGAAAAAGAGCAAACATTGGGGAAATGGAAGACTCGAGTTCGCCAGGACTCGGACTTGCCAGCTCTCTCTTTGTCGGGCCCGTCCCGAGTTTTGACGGTCCAGTTTTCCTGAGGTGTCTGCAGCGGGAGTTCGCGTCAGATTCCAGACAGGTCTCGTCATTTTCCTGACGGCCCCGTCAGGCCAACCCGAGTTCCCCGAACCCGACTCGTACGTCTCCTCGGAAAAACCGCAGAAGCATACACTTTCGGAGCACCGCGCGGATCTCTTGGATCGGCGCTGGAATCCCCCTGGCGCCGAAGAGGGGCTCAGCGCCGACCCAAGAAGTCTGCGCGGAGCTTCGAAAGTTTATGTCTGTGCCGCATTCGGTTCCTCCAGGTGCACGTCTTCCCTGCGCCGGACGCCTTGAATTTCTGGCGTGCGCTCATCGAGGGCCCCGACGGGTCCCCGTTTAAGGGCGGCGTGTTCGCCCTCACCGTCGTCATACCAGACAAGTATCCCATGCAGCCGCCCTCCATCGTGATGGAGACCCCGATCTACCACTGCAACGTTAGCGAATCTGGCCAGCTGTGCCTCGATATCCTGAAGGATCAGTGGAACCCTGCTCTCACCATACCCAAGTGCCTGGAGGCGGTACGTCAGCTGATGAAGGCGCCCGATCCCAACAACGCCCTGCGGCAGTGGATCGCAGAGCTCACTTTGGCCCACAGCCACTCAGGCGGCGCAGACACACGCTATTTTGACAACGCGCGTGAGCACACCCTCCAGCACGCAAGCTTGACCGTAGAAGATTGGAAGCAGAAGTGGGACTGCTGAGCCCGCGCCGCGGCATCGGGCTCCAGCGCTTGTACAGTCGACAGCGCGAGCAGTTCCGCCCCGACTCCGCAAGAGAGCTGTCTCTCCCCCTCGCCTTCCTGCGCCCCGGCCTGCTGCTCCTTCTGCCGCGCCTCGTCCTTGCCCTACACCGTGTGCCTCCTCCTTGCGCTTGCATGGTCGGACCGAGGTGTAAGATCGAGGTGGGTTCGGGGAGAGTGCCCTCGTGGATGCTTGCTTGCTTGCTTGCTTGTTGGATGCTTGCTTGTTGGGGTGTTCTTTGGACGCCCTCGATGGGTGTTCTGCTCGCTTGTTGGATGCTCTCGTGCATCCTGGGGGAGGGGCACCCTCGAAGGCTCTTCTAGTTTGGCCGGCGGAGGGTCTCATGGTCTCGAAGGATTTTTTTTGTCCTAGGTTCGGGGGTGGACAGACCTCCTACCCTGACACGTCGATCAAGGAATTGGCCGTTTTCGGTTCGCGAGAGGGCGTCGCGGCCGTCATTGTTGCGGGTCCGGGTCCGTCGGTTTCGGTCCCAGGCCGTCTTCACTAAGGGGAGGTCTACTAAAGGGAGGTTTGTCCACCGCCGATAGGTCCTGCCGTATCCCTCCTGCGGTCACGATGCTGCGACAATGAGCAGCTCGGATTCGGAAGTGGCTTGCTGTTCCTTTGGTCCCTCCATGGCTGCTCCTCTGGCGCTCCTCGTTCACACGGGCGCCTCTGCTGCCAATCGGGGCTTCGTTCCTAGTTAGCGTTCCTTACGCCATCAGCTCGACTGTACTTGCTCTTCTTCTCCTCCTCCTCCTCCTCCTCCTCCTCCTCTTCCTTCTCGTTCCCCCTCCTGCTTTTTTTTCTCCTCCTCCTCCTCCTCCTCCTCCTCCTCCTCCTCCTCCTCCTCCTCTCCCTATTCCTCCCCCTCGTCCCTTTCCTGCCCTCGCTTTCCCCCCGCTCTTTCCGAGCCCTCCCTCTTATCCTGCCCTTATGCCTTATGTTCTTTTCGCTCCTGTTCATCCCGCTTCTGCATCTCTCCGTCGTGCTGACGGGGACCGACCACGGAGAGGAGCAGGAGGCGGAGGATGAGGACCAGAGTGAAGCCAAGCTGCATCAGCACTGCACCCTCCCGTCCCCAAAGTCCCCTCCGCGCAAGACCCCACCAGGCGCACCCCTGGAAGACCAGCGCCCCTGGTGGGCCTGCATGCAGGCGTGAGCCCCGTTTCGACGAGGGGCTGCCTTGCATCCTCCTGGTGCGTAGCCGCCAGGACTGCGAACGCGCATCTCTTGTCCTGCCTCCTCCTCCTCCTCCTCTTCCTCGTGCGGAACACGACCTAGAGGAAACGTGCGACGTGCATGATCGTACACGAGCTGTCCAGCGATGTCACCGTGTGGAAAGGGACCGCCCCCCCCCCCACACCCGTGCAAACCGTTCCTGAAGTTCACGCCGCTGGCCGTGCATTCCGAGGGGGCCCAACGCGAGCGAGAAGCACGGACCGGCCCCCTCTCCACGCGTGCAGCCGGTGCCTCGGTTGAGGCTCCTGGCTCGTAAGTGTGGGGGCCTCCCAGGCGACATCGCTGCGCTGACAAGCGGGCGTCCCCTGTCCTTCGTTCGTTCGCTCGTTCGCTCGCAGTCCGTGCCTTCAGTCGTTCGCTCGTTCGCTCAACAGGGGACACGTGCATGCCGCGCAGGAGGAGCGGCAGTGAGAGATTACACCTGAGCATCTGTCGGGTCCGTGGCAAGACGATGTCGTCTGACACAGTTGCTCTCCCAATTGGTAGCCCATGTGCTGCACCGCGAGGGCAACGCAAGGAGACGTCCTGCATCCCGGCAGCCGCTGCCATAGCGCTCAGGACGAGGGCGCGCGCTGCGCGAGCACAGACAACGGCGAGGGCCCCGCTCCGAGACGGAGCCGCCGTCCCTCCGTCCCTGCGGCCGCGGGCAGGCTTCGAGGAGGCTTCGGGAGGAGGAGCGGCAGCGCAGAGCCGAGGTGAGCCCGTGAAGTTCGAGTTCTCAGCAAGTGCCTGCGCTTCTCGGGGGCTGCGGCTCCCCCGCCGTCGCCGTCTCGGCGCGTGTCCGCTCCCGGCCCGCGGCTTCGGCGTTCGTCCGTCCGTCCGTCGGAGGAGGACGAGGTGCGAAGCTGGGGCGGGCGTGACGGGAGGCGGAGGACGAGGAAAATGAGGAAGGAGGGCGCGTGCTAATCTCCATGCGAATGCTCGTGTTCAGAGCAGCGCGGAGGCGCACGCAGCGTTGTCGCCACAACAATGATACCGAGAACGACAGGTGGAAGAGGAAGGCGAGGAGGACGGCCGGGATGATGCTGTCGTGACGATTGTATCGATGTTGTTGATGATGCTGACGACGATAATGTTGCTGTTGATGATGGCGATGCTGATGAGGTGGGCGATGGTGGTGATGATTCCCATGGTGGTAATTATGACGATGATGCTGGTGTTGCTGCGGGTGATGATGACGATGATGATGATGATCATGATGATGGTGCTGATGATGAAGCTGGCCGTGATGATGATGCTGCTGCTGATGATGTTGGTGGTGTTGGTGCTGCTGGTGGTGATGATGACAGTGCTGATGCCGGTGATGATGATAGGGGTGATGGGGACGATGATGCTGGCGATGAGGAGGACGATCGACGTTGTTGACGGCGGCGACGAAGACGACGTCGTTGTCGTTGTCGATGAAAACGTTGTCGATTCGGCTGCGTCAGCCCAAGTGTTAAGCGGATGGTGATGATGATGGTGATGATGATGATGCTGATGATGATGGCGATGATGATGATGATGATGATGATGATGATGTTGACGATGATGCTGCTGATGATGATGATGATGATGATGATGCTGATGCTGATGATGATGATGATGATGATGAGGAGGATGATGAGGATGATGATGATGATGATGATGATGATGATGATGATGATGATGATGATGATGATGATGA